GCCGATTGTGGCATGTGTAGCTAAATGGTTAAACAATGTATAGGCTTATTAATTGAATTCATGCTATCTCTATACTGGAGCAATTTTATCCTAATTCTAACTTATGATTAATTATATACCTCAGTACTATTCAGTTAAAGTCTAGTATTGTCTTAGTTACGTAGAACCTTGTACTTATTATATCTTCTATATATACATAGTTGTAATTAATTTCATAGATATTCTATATTTATTAGCATTGTTCATAAGTAATACACTATAATTATAGCGGGTGCTATTATCGATTGAACTAATATTAATTATAGGTAGTCCCACGATAAAGCGACTTATTTCCACCTAATCGGTTTATTCCGAAATGGTTAAGCCCTGCTTATAAAAAAGCTGCTATTTTGTTTTATGAAGTTATCTGCCATTAAGTATGTACTCTACTGATAACTAGTTAGGCTATATTATATAAATCTAGTGTGAGATTTCGATATATTTTATAACCATATTTACCTGATTATTAATTTGTACTATATTCTCCGTTATTGGTCAAATCACCAAAAATCGCACCTCCACAATTAACTTGTCATTTAGAACTCTTTGTATTAGGTCAGTGGCATTATTATGTAATTAGCTCCGAATAGCCTGGTACCTCGCTCAATCTTATTCAAATAGGTGCAGGATTAACTGGTTTACTATATGAATGGGTCTTATCCTTTGGTTCTAATTAGAAGCAATCAGAGGTATCTATTAATTGAAGAAGTTTTGAGTTAGTATGAAGATAGAATTGAAATATTTAGTGTATAACGCCCGATTAATCATTTGAGATCTTTTTATTTATCGGGCTTATCTCTCATTAAATGAGTTACACTTAAGAGCCTACTTTCTATTTGACTGATTAGGATGTCCTTGCACCTCATTACTATGTACTTATTATTCTAGGCAAGTCTGGAGCGACTCCGTCGCGGCATTGATTCTGAGGATAGATGCTTGAGATATCTTCGGATTTATTTTCGAGTAACAGGTAGAACCTCCCTCAGAATGAGGGGTGGACTGGTCCGAGTTAGATATAGATTCTTATTTGCTTAACACCAACCTATGATAGGATGATTAACTAAGAACCAAAGCCGACGTATTGAGCGTACTACGATCAAACTGAACGAAGTAGCTGGTGTCATGCTAATTTGAGGATGCTCACTAAATAATACAGCGAGAAAATAAGTGTTATATCCTCCATACTTCCTCACCAATCTCAAGATTGGGCCAAGCTATCATTATCATTAAAGCTAGAGGAGCCACCTAGGCTGACGCGTTTGAGGTGATCTTTTTCTACTTCAATTGAGATAATCGGAACCCACCCCATCTTAGGTGGGGGTTATTAAATGTGTAAAGTTCTGTTTCGCTACTCAATTGAGTTACTTTTCATTCTTCCCTGATTCTTTGCTATTTTTTACCGGTACTTAACTATTTAGTTTTTATGACTAGTACTGGAAATCTACCCTTTAGCTAGTTGATGCTAGTCATGGGAAACGGCCAACACCTTAGCTCTTAGCTTCCCTATAAGCAAATTGCTTCTTACACATTAGACTTTTGCAAGTTTACTCTATCAATTAAAGTCCCCCTCTGAACCCTAATACAAAATCTATTTAGATTCCCCCATTTCGAATTCAGCTTTAATTGTTAACTAGGATCAGACCTATCATCTCTTCTTCATTTTACTCGTGAAGGTGGACGCGACGTAGACCGGAGGTCGGTCGCGGACGCTAGTAGGAGCCTTTACAAGGCTCCGGTCGCTCCGTGACCGGGGCGACGCCCCACCTAGCTCAAAGCACCGGGCTCGAAGAGCCGGGGACCGGTCGCGGCTAGCCTCCGGCCCGCCCCTTGAGGGGCGGGGGGCCCCTACAGGGGGCCCGCCGCTCCACCTCAATAATGTGGTGCTGATGTTTATTGATTACGATAGCCATTGATTAGTAGGCCATCTAGACTAAATATCAGGTTAGGTCTCTTAGTAGATGGGCTATAAACTTAAGTGAGCGGCGGATGCCGCGGTGTGGCGTCGCCTCAGAAGTTCTTATGAGGCCCGCCCCCTTGAGGGGCGGGGGCCCCGGATGGGGCCGGCCACGGACGTGACGTAGGAGCCTTTACAAGGCTCCGGTCACTCCGCGACGACGTCGCGACCAAGATAATAGAAACTATCTGGTCAAATCGATCATTGATCGAGACGTTAATTACTAATTTGTAAACTGACATGATCTTAATACGAATGCGATGTTTCAATAATAATTGGTGCTGTAGAGGTCTGGAGGAATAATATAATATAGATACAGAAGATATAACTACGAATAATTGAAATAATATTCAGTGGCACCTGTTGTAGAATCTTGGGCTAAACCTGATTTGGTTGGATGTCGTGAATAATCGGAGATCGATTATTGAAGTTGATGCACCATAGTTTCAGAAATTGTAAGAGGACCTTTATTTAGGTTGCATCGACCTAGTCGATTGGTTTATGGATCTAGAATTCAAACTCGCACCTTCGGTGCGATTAAATCTACTAATCATGTAGTTGAATCGAATCGTTAGGACGTCGCTGAGCGCCGTCCGATGATTCGACAACCTCCTAATTCAGTATTGGAATAATCTATTATTTGACCAACTTCGCAGGTTCCCAGCAATTGAGCGGCTACGTGATGAATTTAGATGAAACGGCCCGTAGGGAATCGTCAGGAGAAGTTTTGATCGAGAGTCGATCAGAATGATGTATTGCAATTAAACCTAATCATTATAGTCGATCATTAGATCGAGGGTCTAGGGAGTAAATCTAAAAAAAAAGAGCTAAAGTAAAGTAAAAAGAAACACATAATAAAAAGAGCAACATTAGTTGCCCAATCTTAGTGGGCTCACGCTATTCTAGGGAGTAGACTACGAATTCTTACCTTTGAACTTATTGTTGGACCCTCCTTGGGGATCGGACATCAGGTTGGGTCTCTTACATCTTTTATTATTTAGGAAAAGGAGAGCTTTAAGCTCTTACTATTTGTAGTCCTTCAGACGTTATATTGAGATTCAGTAAGTTACCTTAAGCATCTGTAGATGCTAATGGATTATGTGATTTATCGCACCAGAGGTGCTACTAGAATTACAAGTAGCTTATGATAACCTCAAAGATTGCTGGAACTTTGAACATCCTGATGCATTTTTGACACTTAGCCGTGGTTCACCTGGAGCCCAAAAGGCCATCACATATTTCCGGTTTCATATGAAGCTTCCTTAATTTATCTTCTAGGGACCCTCTATATATGGCTTCTAATTAGGTGAAATAAGTAGAACTAAAGATGAATTGCTAGCATTTTCAAAATAATGGGGGGGGGGGGAAATAAACCTAAAATAATACCAAGTTAGATCTGGCAAATAAACCCTGAATTACTTTTTGAAGTTAGCAGCGGCCCGCTGCACGTTTACCTCGAGGAGCTCTGGGTAATTAACATAACTCTAATCAGTGCTGTGCACTATCGCTTCTATTTATTTCTGATTGGATTAGCCCCGAGGAGGGGATTATCCGCCCACTGGGCTGGATTATTATAGATTATTCACTCGATTTAATCGAGTTTAGAAGACTTTATACCGCTTCTATGAAGCTCCTCTGAGTTATTTCTATTTTAAGTTAGTCAACACTTAAGCCAACCTTTGATTGAGCTAAATTACTTACTACAAATTGGATAATGAGACTACAGCAGATTTATCCTTAAATTGGTACTTCGAACAATATAAGGAGCCGCTCCAAATAGGCCTAAGTCGATCCCAGGGGCCCACTCATGGGGTAATCTCGAACGCGAAGCCGCTTAAGATCAGTAATAATTAGAATTGAGACCACTCATTTTTATATAATCACAACCATCCTAGCTATAATAGACTGGAAGTATAAAGTATAGATTGTAGAACCATTTAACAATAGACCAAAGTTGATGGGAGTTGATTTAAACAATCCGCGTAGCTCGCCCCGCGACCGCTAGGTCGCGACGTAGGAGCCTTGTAAAGGCTCCGGTCGCTCCGCCGCTCCAGATTGTGGGAAGTGTCCAACAAATCAAAGAGTTAGTTAAGGTGGTAATTATAAGAATATCGTTCAGAGGCGGTCAACAAGCAACTGCTAATGGCTCAGTTTTTAGCTACACATAAACCTTATACTATATTTCTAAGTAACTAGGTCAAATGCAAAGTACTTTATAGTTGATCTTATGAATCGAATATTTATCAACTTACCTTCAGTACTCTATACAGTTTAGGTCATGTCACTGTAAAACCCATGTGGTTTGATGTCTAGGAGATAATTACTACCTTGCTGGTTCAATTCCAGCTATTATCGAGGTGGAGCGGCGGGCCCCCTGTAGGGGCCCCCCGCCCCTCAAGGGGCGGTGATCGAAGATCGGTCGCTCCAACTAACCAAGATTAGGCTGATAATCCTATAGTAGCATTATCAATGGTTGAACATCTATTAATATTCCAATAAAGCTCCAGAGGGGCAGACGCGGTCCGCGTCCAGGAGGCGTTGCCAAATTCGAGGAGGAATGAGACCATAACGAGCTAGGAGTATATTTCCAACAACTTCAAGTTGCTCACTAATTATTGCTATACATATTAGGGGTAATTAAACACGAGGTGGAACAAGATGCGAAACATCGATGGTTTATTACTGATTAAACTAGCTAGACGGTCCTTTAGTTATATAAGGATAAAACCAGATCTTCTAAAGATTTTACTCATGCCAAGTTACTAATTATTCATGATATTGCCACCTTCAGGTTCTTCAACCATCTTAGGTGGTTTTTATTAAGAGGTTGGAGCGACTCCTAGCGTCACGACCATATTACAAAGCTAATCATCGAAGATGATGAGGACGAGATTGTGGAGTTTAGACTGAGAATAAAGGAGAGGTTGAATTTAATTTATTTAGGGCAATGAGCTGCTACGAAGTTGCTCAATTCAATTACTTAACTAACATTACTCTCTAATTAATAGGAGGCGTAGTCTAATTGGTTAGACAGCAGACTGTAAATCTGTGAGTAATCTCAATGTAGGTTCGAGTCCTATCGCCTCCAGGTGGTTCCAGGGTAGGGCAACAACTAGCAATTGAAATAATCAGCCGATGTGGAACTTTGAGATCAACTAGGTTTATCTGAAGCTAATACGGTTATATTAGACATACTAGAAGTGATTTTATATTGAACAGGGTATTCCAATAATCATCTCCTTTAGGTTAAAAATGTTAAATCAACTATTGCTAGAAGAGGTTAAACTAATTGTAAATCAAATAGATTAAGTTAAACAGCTGAACATAACAATAGAGATAGAATTAGTAGACTATTTAGGATTTCCAGTTCATCTATCTGATTATCTCTTGGTATTTCTAATCATCAATGATCACCTAATTACTGTCATTTCTTTAACAATTGACTAAACTGAATTCAATCTTAAGAAGCTATGAGCGGTGGAACCTATTTGATTAATTGGATCAAAGGACCATAACAATCGTTTTAGCGTAGACATTTTGATTATTGTTATTGGAATCAATCTTCTCAAGACATTAAGCTAAGCGGTACAAGGATCAATTGCTGTTATAACTAATTGGTTTATTTCTAAGACTAGATGCTGTAATGTAATCTCATTAGTTTGTAATTAATATGTTATACATTAAAATATAGATGATAGCTTGGACAGAAAACGGCTTAACAAGAATATTTAAATTTAGTGAACATGAGACATTTTACATAAATCTTAATTAGGTAATCAACAATAAAAAAGATCCAACCAACAATAATCTAGAACCTAAAATAGGAACCAAAAGATAATGATAAAACTATTTTTGCAGCAGCTAATAATGGAAGCTTAGTAGAAGCTGATATGATTGAAGTTATTTGTATTTTATCTTTCCGAATATTTAAAGGGCATCTAATTGATCGATATAGAAGATCGACTAATAGGTGATAAGTATAAAGATTGACCAATTCCGCGTCAGCCGCGCCTCCCCCGCGTTCTTAAGAACCCGGGCCCCCATTTGAGCATCCTCAGAAAATCACCCTCAGACGATAAGTTACTAACGTGATATAAGCTAGTTTGGAATAATCATATAACCATGTAGTGTCATCAATAGATCTACCTACATCTGAATCGAATGATTAACATCTTGAATTGCTAATTTAGGGGAGCTATAGAAAGTAAAACCGACCTAACCTTATCTATAGCATTATGGTGATTCTATCCTTATTATTAATTTAGGTTCTATTTTTAGACGCCTTGGGTTCTTCTAATAATCTTCTAGTCAATCGCGCCGTGGCGTCGCCTCAGAAGTTCTTATGAGGCCCGTAGGGCCGGCCACTCCAGCCGCTTCAAATTAATCAAGTAATAGCAACTGCATAGTGATATATAATGTTTATCAACTTAGGAAATGAGGAATATTGAAGTTATTTAAAAGACATTTTTAATAGTTTTTATAAGCCACAACTAATTAATTCATAATGGGCTTTAATTATCACCTCAGAAGTCAGTAAGGGCTATCCTGTCCTAGGGGGGGGGCTATATGTAGCGCGGCTATTGAGGATCGCAACTCAATCGAGGTGGACTACCTCCACGATGAGCTTAGGCTCTAATAAATAGCATAATAACCATCGATCTAGTGATCGATTAATAATAGAGAGGATTTGTCTATTTCTTAAGAACCCGGGCCCCTTAAGGGGGGCGGCTGGAATTGGGTTGAACTAAACCAATAAGTGGCTAATATCATTTTACTAATAACGCGTTTAGGCCCGATCGTATATAAGATTAGTTCATAGATTGAGTCAAATATAAACTAGAAGGCTACATGTACGATAAATATTGGAAAGCTTCGCGGATTATCTCAAATACATCGCATTCTATGGTGAACAAACCTTCTACATATTCTAACCAAACTCGGCCGAAGGGCGAGTTCCCGCGGACGCGGCAACTCTAATTGTGGGACCCACCTACTACGTCGCTGGATTATTTTCTACTTAATCCTAGACCAACTTCGTTGGTGAATTAGTTAGAGGTTTTATTACTGAATCATTAGGAACTAAATCAATCGTGGAGGTGAACGCACCGCGGGGCGGGCACGTCCACCTCGATAAATCATCCACTTATTCAATTGAATTAGCATGTTAGGAGGAGACAGATAGCAATGTACTTATCCTATGTATATGTCTAGTAAAGTAAATAAAATAGATAAAAATCACTTGAAGCGAAGTAGATAAGAAGCAATCTACGATTGCTCAATTATTCCATAATTGGGATCAGAACCTACAAGGGAGATAAAATTATTTGAGGAGAGAATTCTAAAGATGTAACCTACATATTTTATTAATAATTTGTCATCAAGAATATTATAGTGTTCATTAAGACAGATAATGAATTTGAACTTATGTGGGATTGCTCTAATTAAGGTAACATAATGAATGGATCACAATTAAAAATTGAAAAAGTTAATGATGAATAATTAAATTTCATTTGTGTTTATTGAAGTTTCGTGGTTGACAACCAATGTTCTTTGCAGGAGGAAGTCAGATTACTTAATTTAGATTTTTAGTTCAAAGATGCAATGAAAGGGGATTTAGCTGCATTTCTCTAATAACTCTTTGAAATAGAATTATCAGATGTAATTAAAAGTTCCTTTTCCTGGAGGAAAACCCCTCCATTCTTTTGGTAAGCCAGGTAAATTCCAGTAAGATAGCAATTTTATTTCATTAGTAATTGTTTTACCACTTACTATTTGGTTTAATAATATGGAATTACGAGTCTAAACAGAAAAGCTGAAGGTTCTATTCGAGATTCTTCCGTGCTTCCTGGGACCCTAAAAGTATACCACAACTCATCAAACCATCTATCAACTACGACTAGTTCCAGAGTCTCAAAGGGTGCTATTCTAATTGGTTACCACCGACATCCAATGATCTGAATCATGGTGCTCTAAGCAATCAGTGGATTGCTCAATGTTATCTAAATCATCTATAAACAATCTAGATGCAAATAAGGCTCATATTAATGAGTTCTATAGATCTAGTAGGTTCTATCATCAACTTGAATAAATGCTGTAGTACAAATCTATTTGGTATTATGCTCGAAAAATCAACCAAAAAACAATCAATGTAGAATCAATCGTGGAGGTGAACGCACCGCGGGCGCCAATTTGATAAACCGCATTTGTGAATCGATCACTTTCGAATTCCCGCGGCGCGGAGTTGCTCGCTGCATTTCTAAATCCCCGCCTCCGTTTAAGTCTCAGATACTTTTTACTAAGCATTTTTTTCTCATATTTTCTGCATATGGTGTTTCTACACCAATGGTGATTGGTTAGCAGGTTTTACTCACGCTCAAGGACATTTTACAATTTGAGTTTCTAATTATTTTGTATTACTCTACTTTATGCTTCTATTAATATATTGTATGCTATTCCATAATTTGGAGGTTGCGGTGACAATATTATTATTCCTTTATTTGAACCTCTTAGTTTTTGGATTTCGCCTATTTAATAATAGCAGCTTGCCTCAATCAACATAGGTAGAGATCTTCTTAGTCGCTTTGATTGTAGTTCTAAACTTCATCGCTAGCGACGTCGCCTCAGAAGCTCTTCTGAGGCCCGGATCTGAAGGATCCGGGGGGGCCCCCCTAAGGGGGGCCCCGGTCGCGGAGTGGCCGGCCTTCGCCTACGCCACACCAGCCGCTCAAACTACTGAAGATAATACTTCACTCATTTACATGAGTTGAGGTTTTACTGATTTATACGGTGGTTTCTTATTTCATAAGTCTAAACTTAGTTTTTTATTATCGTCCATTACTCTTTTTTGGTTTTACTTTATTCTACATATATATTTGTTGTATCTACTATTTTCTTCTTTGTTTGATAGTTTACCTTTATATACTATTTGACATTTTTATTATCCATAAGCGCACCATTCAAAGACACCGACTTAAGCTTACTACAGTTAACTTTAACTAGAAGATTATTCACGATAAAAATAACATTACAGGTATAATCGTTCAACCACCAATGACAAAGTCGTCATCCCTAGAATTAGCTTCTCTCAGAAGCCCTAGATATTCCCACGATCTTCATAGAAAACATTATTAATTGAACAAATGTAAGTTTCTGAAACTATTATCTCCCTTATTACAATTACTGCAAGGCACTCTTGAGTACTTTTCTTATTCACCTAAAGCTATTAGAAAACTAATTCTCTACATTACCTGGTTATTTTGGTAAGTAGACAACTTGATTTAATCTTTAATCAGACTCTTAGAATATTTTATAGAAGCAACTTTGAGTTTCATGTGCTTAAATACCTCTCTTTAGATTATTCATTTTCTCCCTTTTACATTTAGATTGTTATAGATAGGATAATAATAGGGAGGATCAATCAATTTATCTGAATATTGGTAGAGTGGGCACCTATTTGAAGCTTAAGTATTAGGTAAATTGCACCAGTAATGGTTCCAGCTAATGATTTATCAGTGTTGGTTGAGATCTGTATTTAATTATATCTATAGAATAGCAATTAGACCTACTGAATTAAATAAAAATAATTATGATCTTATCTAAGCCATCTTGGAGCGGCATCCGCCGCTGATGGCCGTTATAGGTTTTAAGATTAGAAATTACTAAACAAACTCGAGTTTGTGCGATCAGGTTTTACCAAATCTCCGATTTGTTCTTTAGATGATGCGGAATCTATCTTTGATTGATGACATAGCACTACTATTACAAGGTCACCTACCAACTTGGGCTCTGTAATCTAATACCATAGTGTAATTAGTTGGAAAAGCTCTAGGTTAACCATAGTTATAAAAGTTTCTAAAGAGATTTGAACTATAATCAATCGTGGAGGTGAACGCACCGCGGGGGCGGGCACGTCCACCTCGATCAAATTCAGTGCGTACGCACGAATTCCCGCAAAGCGGCAATTCTAATCACTAAAATCCAGCCTGTAGGGCTGATTTACCCTCTCGGGCCCGCTAGGAGTCGCTCCAATCCTACTAGTAATTCAGTTAAATAAGTTCCTTTGGCCTCAGATAAATGGAGCAGGTTCAA